CAGGCTTGTTCGCTCCTTGTTCTACGCTGGCAGGACAAAGAGCCTTTATTGGTTCGAGACATTTCTGAGAGAGTCTGTCCGGCTCTGTCCCCGTGAGGAAGGAAGCCCACGGCATGCTGATCCAACTGGAGACAGCCGGCCTCTCTCTGTCTCTCTCAGTACTGTCTCACGCTCTCTTTTGATTCTAACGCTGCCGGCCTTGTGGTTTCACACACATTTCCTGCTGCACATCAGAAAACCTCTGGCTCGGCCAACACGCTGCAGACAAGTGTGTGAGGAGGCAGTCTGTGCTGGTTGGTGGCATCCACAAAAAGTAAATAAGAGCTGGTTTGTGTGGTTATTCCTTCCGTGGATCTCTTATCATTGAAACATGTTCAACGCAGGTGCTATTAGTTTCTTCTTTTATTGGTAATTACGGAACTTTCTGTAGCTGTATTATCTTATGTGGAGTTGACTTATTCTGCATCAACTAGCCACAACAGAGTGGCTTCGGGGGGCTTATTGTGCTTTTAAAACAGCAGAGGCTTTACTTAGCGGTATACATGCTAAACAAATTAGCCACCCTACAAGTGCTTGAATAATGCTAAGAGGGAATGGAGAGCAAATAAAAACAACAAAGTCCAACTGCAGCGACCCCCCCCCTAACAATGTAAACATTCAGGGTCACTTTCATGATCTCTCATATGTCTCTCCTCAATGTTCCCTAAACCTCAACGCTCACACTTCAACCCTCCTGCAGTACAGGCAATAACATCATCCACATGCTCACCTCCTTCTTCTCTCACCACAGCCAAGGTGTGCTGTGACCATGGCAACGGACACCACGGAAACTAAGCACGAGATGCTTTTAGAGGTAACCGAATCCAAAGGCCCAGGTAAACAGGAAAAAATGAGTTCTTTTCAGCGACATCTTAAAGAGACAGTGTGTCAAAGTGGATTCAGTGGTCACATCATGAGGATTAAATGACCTCTGTCACTGTCTGTTCAATGTGTTCCATTGTCTCTTTAAGATCTGCATGGTGTGGTGATGGGTTTGATTCAGCCTTAACATGCGAGTGGTGTGCTGTGTCCACTTGACGACTTCTTTGATCTCCTTTACCTATACTTCTTTTTTGGTGATGTCTGTGCAAAAAGAAGAAAAAACACAAAAAGACTTGTATGTCACTTACATTTAGTGAGTGTTATGATGCTTGTTTTTATGCTAACAGGCTGCTGGCCGTTGTTTTCTATATTGAACTGACAGATATTAAAGCGTTATTTATATTCTCATGTAACTAGAAAGCCAGAAAAGGGCATTTCCCAAAAGGCTAGACTAAAGGAAATTAATTCCTTGTGGGATGAATTTCCCTGCTTGCATTAATATCAGAACATTGTGCTGTTGCATCGTGTGCATTTAAAAAAAAAAAAACATGTTTCTTTCCACTTTAAGTTGCCAGATGTTAAATATTCTCCTGAGGACCTGGGTCAAAACGCACTGCATCGCAAGCACACTGGATGTCAAAGTTAACCTCAGTTGGTTGGGTGCTGCTCTGTAGAGTGCTGCTGCTGCTGAGTTGTCTACGCGGCAGAAAGAAATGGTCCTTTCTCGTTTCACGCATGAGTGTGTGAGCATGCCCACGGCAGTGCATTATGGGCTTGGGATCAGAGTAGAAACACTGGACGGGCACTGATGCTGGAAGAGCATTCTGCAGGGAAGCAGACCATCTGGGTCACATCAGAATATCCCCTCACATATTCTCAAAACTGCAAAGAATCCCGATTTGGGGGGAAAAAAGGAAATTATTTCTACAAAAATGTAAATTCATGAGAAATTTCCCAAAGATTTCTGATTAATTTCAAGTCCTTCTTTAAACATAAAGCTAAGGAAACCAATTTAAAGCTAGCCCACCGTTATTAGATCTTCAATCTGATGTAAACATCAAGGTCCTAAATATGATTTACCCATGGCGAAAATGAATACAAAAAGGGACAAAACCATAAGAGAGAAATCAAGGAAAATATTAAAACATAAGTGGGGTCTCCTCATCACGCTGTAATATATCTCAGAACTGATTGATTTCTGAGTGATACAAAAACTGAACTGCAGGATTTCCCAAAATGTCATGTCATTGTTTTGGACAAACGACTTATTGATGAATCAAAAGTAGAATCAATTGGTAATGAAATCCATTGTTGACCAGTGGCGAGCCGTCAGGGCCCTCTAGGCCCTCTGTGAGGGCCTAAGATATTCTACAAAATAATATTTAAAAAGATTAAAAAAAAACAAAACATTTAAAATATATTTTTTAATATATTGTTTTTGTTATTTTTGTAGTTATATTTTTCATTAGTTTTACCAAAATAACTTGATTTAATTGTATTTAAAATAACATTTCCAAATAAATAAATCCTTCGAATCTGCCTATTCAGTTTCTGTTGGAATGTGAAGGGTTAAATGAAAGAAGCTCGTCTCTGCGAGTTGTGAAGAGAGGAGCTGTTGGACGTCCAAGCGGTCCAGCTATGAATTCACAGAGGGCCCAGCTATAGTAACTGAACGAGAGAGTAATGTCAAATGACAGTACAATTGACCAATCATATATTCCCTCTAAATGGGTGGGTGATCGCGGACTTTATGACAAGTTCCGCCCGCTGCGAAACTTTTCTTGTTTCCATAGCAACAACAACTTCCTGTCACCAGCGTTAACTCGCCTTCAAAATAAAAGCATGCCAAATTACACTTAAGACATACAACTGCAACGAAAGTAACAAACACAATGCAATATCGTTTTTAATTTCAAAGAACACAAATAGGGTTATTTACAGGTGTTGTTTTGTGTTGTCGAGGGTCGCTTTCATTGATGCGTTTTGCACCCCGGGCCGTTGTTTTGATATTCCGCTGAAGTATATGCTGTGTAATAACTCGAGGGAAGGGGTGGGGGTCAGAGGGCCTAGGTATAAAAGTCACGGCTCGCCACTGTTGTTGACTTCCAAATTCCTTATGACTACAAATATAAATTGAAGTAAACCTTAATGTGTCTTTTTGTCCAGAGTTAGATGAGTGAATTAAGACCATTATGCAGCCAGCATTAGCAACCTGTTGGCTTAGACTCGAAACAGTAAAACATATAGCATTGCTTTGTCCAAAAATGGCTAAATTCAGCATCTCTAAAAGTGAACACCAAGCCTCTAATCTTTACAAAACAACTGTAAGAACAATACGTTATGGTTTTACTGGGTTTAGATGCTGGATTATTCCTGTGTTGGGAGCAGCACATAACTCCCCAGTAGAACCACAACTTGTTTACACATTGGATGTATGATTGAACTACAAATATATATTCATATTTATGAAGTAGTAAGTAGTAGTCTTCTCCAAAACATATGACTGTGGCTGCAAAATGAGTTTAGACATCTGTCACAACTGTATTTGTCCCAGTCTGAAATGTTGCCTTTTATACAGATACAGGGTTTTTGTGTAAAAATAATTGAATATCTGGTAGACAATTGATTTCTGGTGGTGTGTGGCGCAGTGGGTTGTGCGTAGATGTTGTACAGGTTCAAACCCCACTGTAGTCAGCATGTCATTGTGTCCCATGGGCTAGACACTTCACCCCAAATTGCTCCTGTGGGGATTGTCCGCAGTATTGAGTATGTAAGTCGCTTTGGATAAAAACAAGTGACATGTAATGTAATGTAATTGATTATTTGAGTGACACTCCTAGAAGACAAAAACTGTTATTTTTTATTAAACTGCTTTTCATAAAGGCGTACAACAAAAGAATCCTAACAAACACTTCCCACTCTGTCCTTAAAGTCCTATGTTTGTCAGTACACATACCAAGCACTTAAAACTCTCCCACGCAAAAATATAAAGAGTTGAGACTGTACGTGGGGAAATTTAGTTTACTGTATCATTTCCCATGATGCCTCTGGTACAGTGAGCAGCATGCAAAGTGAAATCCCACACCAGTTGCTACTTATAGCTCTGAAAGGGATACCCACAGAGGCCTGAGAACGCCTGTCTGCACAGTGGTGTAGAGTAGCTCTGTAACCTCACCCTCTTAGTTCATGCAAGGGACCTCCACGAGTACACAGAGACAAAAACAAAACACACAGAGACTTACAAAGACACACAAACACCCTTTATTATATTTAATTGAGCCAGAAGATATCTGTTTACATTTTTTTGAATGACATCATGTCAACAAATCTCTTCTTTGGAATCCCATGGAGTGATTAGAGCAAGGGAACATTTAGCTTATGTGTAAGAGTTTATAACTTTCTGACTTGAAAGAGGATGAGGATATAGAAATATCATTCAAAAGTCCAAAAGTTTCATTACTTTTGATCACAACCTCCTCATCAACCAGCAATTACAGGACTTTATTGCCAGCTGCTTTGCTTTATTGCATAGGTCAGGACCATAGACTATATATAATGGTCAGGACACGTTTTTTTTTTTGGTAGCACATTGCACCGGAGCGATTAGCAGTAATATGTGTCATTAAGTTATAAAGGGGGTTAACACCCTTTAGTTTTGCATTAGATAATACAGTTCGTTCTCTATTGAGGCGATGCAGTTCAAGTCTGATAATCAGCCACACATTTAACATCAACTCCTTGGGGCCATGCAGACAGCTTGGATGTCGTTGTGGGTTTTCACTGCTTTCCTTTCTCTCAGGACCAATCATGGATTTGGATGTTTTCAGTCAGTGAATCAGGGATTTGTTCCCTATTTCTCTCAAGCTGCTACTGCTGTGTGGGTGCTCCCTTTTTCTGCGTGTTGTTTATCTTTCCCACTTCTGTTTGAACACTAGTAAGTACGAGCCAAGGTTTTCTTCTCATTCCATCTGCTATTTTGATTTATTTTCTTCAAATAAGATCAATTGTATTTCATTATCCACACACACGCATACAAAAACACACCCATTGGCACCGCCCTGCTCCTTATCTGAGGATATAAAGATTGATGATCTGATTGCATGTAGCCGTGGTTGTCATCTATTTTCTTTTACCCGCAGAGAGAAGACGACAGGGCAAATTCCAGCCCTTCAAACGACTCTTCGGGAGAAAGAAGAAGAGGGAGACCAAAGGGGGCTTTGATGGAGCAGAGCTAAAGGCCAGTTTTTCTACCGGGGAAGTGCGCAATGGAGTTGTATCTGACGATGAGGAGTCCAGTCAAAATCTGAGGTAACTACGGAGTTGAAGTTTCATTTTGTGATTCTATTCTTATGTGATAAAAAACTAAACGAAGCTTGTCCAATCACAGGTTTTATTAGAGCCCACACAGGAAGTTACATCATATCATTTTCTTTCACTTCCAGTAAAGGGAAAGTGTTATAAACCCATTCTGCAAGGTGTTGGCAGTAATGACACCCTGAAGACATTCTTATTCTTCCACAGGGATTTGAATCCCATCGGATCACGAGCCCTCTCACACGACAGCATCTTTATTCCAGAGGAGCCGGTGACCGAGGCCGGTCTAGATCACAGCATGTCCCAGGAAAACGTCTCGGATAAAGTCAGGAATCTGCAGGTGGGCCTTGTGGCGGTGTGCACTCAATTGCTGAAGAGTTATTTTTCAGTCTACAGCCATAACATGTTTCCTTTTTATGTTGGTCAAACAGAAGCAGATAGCACAAGGTATAAAGTTTGGCCAGAGACCTCCTTCTTTAAGGAAAAGCGAGGGAGATGAGGGAAGTTCGGATGAGGAAGAGGTTCCTCGGAGTCCTCTGAAGGTTCTGGCCCAGGTAGAAGCCGAGCCAGCAATCACAGAGCCAAAGGTAATAACTTATTAACTTATGCATTCTGATGACGATTTGGTTCAGTTTTTAAAAGAGCTCCATAGATTTAATACACCACAGTCACAGGTCACGTGGAGTACTACTGCATGTGTGGGTAAAGTTGTATATAACTTTATGTGGCTGCAGGGGGAGCTGTGCTAAATTAGGTGTTATTAACTGTTATCATTTATTTGATGGTGTATTGTAGATAAAAAAAGAAGCTGCGTGGAGGGAGATAGCATTCCGGGAAAAGCCTTTAATATTTTCTGCGGTTAAAGGAATTAATGAAATAAAAACTTGAGTACTTCCTTATTGCTAATCCAGTTGCAAAGTACAATTTGGTAAGGTCATCCAGTGCATACAAACACACAGCATCTGTAGTGTGAGGAGGTTGATCCTTTCTTTCATTTGTGACTTTAGATTCAGAGAACTTGTGAGTTTCTTCTTGCAAATGTACCATTTTGAACTTGGTATTCCTCGAGTACTTCCCCACCTAGCCTGTTCCTTATTTACTTTAGGCTACGTTAGCCGCTAGCATAATACACGCAAATCTTTACATATCATTGGTCACAGTTGCTTTTTGGGTAATGTGTGCACAATGTGTTGATGAGGAAAAAGAAGACAATAATTACAAAAATTAAAGGTGGGGTAGGTAAGTTTGAGAAACCGGCTCGAGATACACTTTTTGTTATATTCCATGGAATGCTCTTAACATCCCGATAGCAATGAATATCTGAAGTGCTTTGACAAAAAATCCATAAAAAAATGTAATCCGTAGTACTGTAAAAAGCATGACCAATCATTTTAGCCGGCCCGGCTAAAATAAGTGGATGGCCTACCTGCCTGTCAGCCTTCCATCTGTGCACTAACTTATCTCGTGCCGTATCTCGTTATCATGTGCGCGTTCGTGTGTGTTGGAGCTCTGTCAGGAAGTGGCAGATTTTTTCCGGCTGTGTATTTTCAAATTCTAGCGCATTCGAGCTGGTTTCTCCAAAACTACCTACCCCACCTTTAATGATCTTCAAATGCATTGAATCTAAATTGATCCTTTGTTTCGCAGTCCAAGTCTGAGTGTTTCATATTATGAGTGCAATGCATTATCGGCGGAGTAATCTTTTAAGGTATTTGCACAAAGATTTAATGCATTTGAGTTTTTAATAAAAGCTGTTTTTGTGACAAAAGCAGGTCCAGGAGGCTCATCAAGCCGGACCTCACAGCACCCCAGTGAAGTCACCGAGGTCCAAACGAGTTCTTCCGCCCACTGGTACCATCGAGTCCATCAATCTGGACTCTGTTCCACAGTCTGTTCCTCGCCTGGACAACACCGCTGCCAGGCATAAGCTGTCAGTCAAACCCAAAAACCAGAGGATTTCCCGCAAACACCGACGGTTTACACAGGTGAGTCTACCCACGAGCCGTCTCAGATAAGCATGTTTTGGGTTTATTCTCTGACATTTCACACCCTTTTTTGGGATTAACAAAATAGGAGCTAATGCTTTTTTCCACATTCCCAGGACCTCCAGGAAGTTGATATTCCTGGTGTGTTGCAAGAGGACTTCGAAGCAGCAGGTTTCTCCACAGACGCCCAACGCAGAGCATCTGTTGAGTCCCTAGGAAGCTTCAAGAAACAGAGACTACATGAGGAGGAGAGACAGGAGACGAGGAGGAGGAGGGACCTGGAGGAGCAGAGAATCAGACAGGAGGAGGAGGAGGAGAGGAGGAAGAGAGCAGCAGAGGAGCTGAGGCTGCGTCAACTAGAGGAGGAGAGGTGTCGTAAACAGCAGGAGGAGAAAGAGAGAAAGCTTAGAGAAGAGACGGAGAGGAGGAGGAATGAAGAGGAGAGAATAATTAGAGAGGAAGATGAAAAGAGGCGACGAGAGGAGGAAGAGCGGATGCGAAGGGAGGAGGAGGAAAGGAGGGTGCGGGAGGAGGAAAGGAGGGTGCGGGAGGAGGAGAGGAGACGAATGGAGGAGCAGAGGAGGAAAGAGGAAGAGGAAGAAGCGAGGAGGCAGCAGGAGCTCCAGGCTGAGAAGAAGAGGAAGCTAAGAGACGAGGAAAAGCAGAGGAAGAAAAAGGAGGAAGCGAAGAAGCTGAGGTTGCAGGAGATTGAAGAAAAGAAAAGGTTGGAAACAGAGAGGATGAGGAAGGAGGAGGAGGAGCAGAGGAAGGCTGAGGAGGTGCGCTGGAGGGAGATGGAGGAGAGACAGAGGCCTTTCTCTTTCAAAGTTTCCTCTGGAGAAAAACAGATTTTGTTCCAGAAGGTCAACCTGACGCCTGTAACGCCGGCGTCCAGCTACCAGAGCGCTGCTGCAGCCGAGCGAAGAGAGAGCGCGTCCTCCTCTGAAGGACCAGAGTCCCCGAACCTGCCAACGTCTCCATTCGTCCCCCACACCGCCATCCTGGTGACGGGCGCCCAGCTCTGTGGGACGGCCGTCAATATGGACCAGATCAAAGACAGCGCCTGCAAGTCTCTGCTGGGTTTGGGAGAGGACAGGAAGGCCCAGGGAACACCGCCGACCAAGAGCAAGACCTCACCGGACCGCAAGTCTGGCAAAACCAAGTCCCTCAACGAGTCCTCGCTCTCTACAGACCAGTCTGTCCTGGCAGAATGGGCGAGCATCAGATCAAAGATATTCAAGGGGGTGGAGGAGGGGAAATACGACGAACAGCAAGAACAGAGCAAGAACCAGCCTCAGCCCGGCAGCGAAGACACGCCTGGGTTCTCCCACACCAACCTCAGGAAGACCATGTCCGCCAGCGCCAAGTTCTCCATCACTCCTGCGAAGAAGAAGTTTGGAGATTCCAACAGGAACTCTGAGGTGTTTGGTGCAGAGGAAAAGGAAGCAGGAGAGGAGGGTTCTTCGCCTGAAAGCCCCATCGCAGCCTCCCCGGCTCCAAGCAGCAAACCTCAGAACAGGACGAGTAAATCCGTCCGAATCGTAGAAAGAGGTTCAGAGGAGTGTATGTTTGCCAAAGACCTCCCCTCTTTCCTGGTTCCTAGCCCTGGAGCTAAACCTGAGGTGTCAGAGTTAAAGAGCAGGGGTCGAAGTGAGACGGGGGCGTCTGAAAGTGGAGAGGAGGGAGAGGAGGGAGAGGAGGGAGGCCAGGAAGGCGACGACAATCCTTCGCCTTTCGGCATAAAGCTGAGGAGGACCAACTTCTCCCTCCGATTTCACAGCGAACAGTCCACTGAGAAAAGGAAGAAGCGCTACAGTGCTGGGGACAGCTTTGAGGGCGTCCCCTCCCCGCTCACCCCCATGGAGACAGACTCTGATACCTCCTCTGTCTTTTCTGACAAATCCATTAGCCCATCATCTCCGCAGAAAGAAGGCGCGGCGGGCAAGTACTTACGCGCATCTGCCTCCCCCGCTGCGCCTCGGGCGAAACCTGGAAAGTCTTCCAGCTCCAGCACGCACAGCGAAGGTGAGAAACTGCTTTCCAAGCCGCCCATCTACAGAAGACCAACCACGTCACCCAAACCAAGTGGAGCCGTCCCCACCCCTCCCCCGTCGCCGCTGCCTAAGGAGGTCCATGTTGTTGACGCTGTGATTCAGAGGACAGGGGCCGCAGAGTCGTCCAGCCAGGAGCAGACCCTCAGGAGCGAGGAACATTCAGCGGTGGCTCAGCTTCACCGCAGCAGCCAGAGCCAGGTCCGAGAGGAGGAGGAGCCGAAGGAGAAGAGATCCTTCTTCCCCTCCATCAACATCCCCTGGAGAGAGAAGACAGACAGGAAGGCAGAGCTCATCAAGAAAGGTCAGCGCTACTTAGGTATAGCATTCTAGTTCTAATCTGGAGTCCTTGGTTTTTTATTTAACAAACATAGAACATAGAGCGTCTCTGCGGCTTAACCTCCTGGGACCCGAGGAAAAAAAGTGTCTTCCAATTTCCTTTTTTTTGGGATTTCCTACCTATTTAGGGTTAAAAAAACATCTTGCAATTTAGACTTTTTTAATTTTATTTTTATTTTAAAATGTTACAGTATGTCCACTGTAGAGGACGTCGGGACCATATTAGTTTGAAAAGACAGCCAAAATTAACAGATAGACTATGTAACGTATTATGGTTATAGAGTGATATTAATACAATAATACATTCACCTTTATTTAAAACATGAATAAGTAATTGATCTGAACATTGCTGTTTATTTGGTCACTAAAAAACTAGTTTGGTTTTTGGTGAATCTTTCCAGATCTTCAAAGACTTTGTAGTCAATGTAGTGGGAAAAGTACCTCATTGACTCCAGTCGGCACGGGCTGTAGGGTCATCTTGACTAGTTGTATGGATGTGGTCTCCATTTGACCATGCTCACAGAAACAAAGCTGGCATTCCTGAGGCAATTCTCATTTTCCATGGCTCCACTTAAAATAAAAACAACAATAAGACATACTTGCTACTCTTGGCCCAGAGGGCCATGTCTTTCCAGCTCATCCCTATCTGTCTTTCTGTCTGTATCTGTGCGCTCATGGAGCCTCCTTCATCTTTCCCCCCTTCTTCTTGACCCTCTTCTATCCCAGGTGTGAAATCCTCATCTCTCTCATCATCTGAGAGCTCAAAATCTGAATCTCCCTGAACTATCTGGTTCAGAAAATGTCTGCTTCAGTTCCGTCTCCTGCAACAATATTGAGTCATTAAGTCCATGAAGATGGTCCTGACGTCCACTAGAATGGACATTTATAAAAGGGCTGTTATTTGAAAACTTGAATTATTTAATTGCTTTCAGAACAAATTATATAGTTCCTCACATGTTAATAAACAAGAACATNTTGTTGCTATGGAAACAATGTGACGGAGATTAACGGAGAAAAGTAATATATAAAGACGGGGAAAGTAAACGATAACGTGTATGGTTAAGTGTTAGCACCCCCGAAGAGGCACAAGCTCTTACGTTGATATTGGACATTACAATAAATTCAATTTGAAAAAAAAGCAGGGCTGTACCCGAGTAATATAATACAGTTATAGTAAATAATAACAAACTCCAGTGTTAGAATTCCATAATTCCATATTCATAAATAAAATGACATGCAAATAACATTTTCTTGGCTGTGGACTTGTACTCTACATAATTATGTTGAGCTCATGGTAATCTAATTCAACAGATAGCATTTTCTGACTCGTAAAATGATTGGATATGGTGTAATTTGGTAAATGATTCTGTGTTGAAAAATGTACATCTTTAAAAACTGCGTTGGTGTATTAGGGCGGTCCATACTATTTGTATACCCCCCGAAGAGGCTCAAGCTCGTTGAGTCTGGAGTTTCAATACATTCGGAATTTGGCCGTGTAAAATGTCTTCTTGGGTTGCCATACAGCTAATGCGTGACGTCATTGGTAAGCGTAACGGACCCCGAATACATCTGGTAGGCCGAACACATATGGTACCTATCCATTATTAGTTGTTTTGTAGTCTGCCGACTGAAGCTCTGCGATTACTTTTAATCGATATTAACATTTAACAAACTATGAATGTGTCATACCCACTTAACGGGAAGAAACTCAGCTATCAGACAATATTAACAATGTTTAGCACAAGGGTAATAACAAAGGCTCTGAATTAGCCCTGAGCGAAAAAATGCTAACGCGACATGGGAAGCAAACACAGACATCACACAACGTAGTTTTACGGAGCAAACACGGGAGAAATGTCTTACCTTTTGCTGTTTCTGATCACAAGTTGTGTTCAATGGCATTACAATTACAAAAAAACGCTGCTGAAGGTTAATCCATAGGTTAATCCAATGTGTCTGAAATGATTACTGATAATCCATCTTCATATTTATGTCAATAACGGAATTTTCATATATAGCTGCTATGATAGCTACCAGAGTGTATGACGGCTTCCGGTTTTGGGCATTCTGGCTACGCATCACTATTCACCAATGGGTAATGTTTAGATGGATTTTAGGAACTTCCCCTCGATTCCATTGGCTCTAATGGTTAAAAATAAGTGTCAATCATCAAAATCGACCGAGGGGGGCCAGAGATATGGAAAATGCACCCAAATGACCCCAGAAGTGTGTTTTTTTTGTTGCTAAACCTCTCTTAAAAAGGTCAAATGTCTCTTGTTTGGCATCAATCTTGATACAGGGTACTTATTATATGTTTATAGTTTGGATTCCTAAAGCTTTTAGTCTACTATCCCATCATTCAAGGGTGGTTTTCACTATAAGTAATGTGATTTTTTTGGACGGACATTATAATTTACATTTTATTACTATGTTCAATCTGAATTTACTTTAAAATAAAAAGATTCTATATTGATTCTGACTTTTCTACATCCAACTCACAGGTTTATCATTGCTTTGAGAAAAAAGGTTATTAATGTACCCCTTTTAGAAGCGAAGATATAGGCAATTGTTCTGGGAATGTCATTTTCGAGCCTGAGGCCAGAAAAACAGGTTCTGGGCTCAACTGGTTAACAATATTTTATATTTGAGAACCTTGGCTATGATCAAATTATGTTTTGCCTCAGTAATGTATCAATCTTCCTTTGTCTTGCTGCAGAAAAACCATCCTTACAGAGCAGGCACTCACTGGACAGTTCGAAGATCCAGGAGAAGGAGGGGCCCCTGTGGATCACACTGGCTCTGCAGAAGCAGAAGGGCTTCAGAGACCAGCAGCAGAACAGAGACGACCGCCGCAGCCACAGAGAGGCCAAACTGGCTGAGAAACACGGCAGAGACAGTGTATGTGCCCCAGGCTAACTCTTTACACACTTTGTATTCTTTCTGACATTCAAATAGTCTTTCAATATCCGTCTGCTCATATGGTCACCCATCTCTTCTGCAGGTTACGCTGGTGAGCCCCACAGAGAGCAGAGGAAGCGGCAGCACCAGTCCGTCCCCTAAACCGCAAACCCCAGAGGGGCCCAAGAGACCGGACAGCCTGCTGGGACGCTTTGAGAGGCGAGAACACCTGAAGAAAGCCAACACCTTACCCAGCTCTGTCACAGGTAAGACCTGCACGTCTAAGGATATAGAAGATATACTGCAGATATGATTATTTCAGTGAATTTTCTAAATGTATTTGGGTAACATTTGTATATATTCCGATATGAAAAAATTATCCTAAAAATATTCAGATTTATCCATATTGGATAACATGTCAGCTTCAGCCATAAATCAATATTTCTCCATGTTGAAACACAATGTATTGATTAAAAAATAGTATATCACACAAGGATAGAGCTGCAGCAATTAGTCCATTTTGTAGATCGACAAGAATTAAGAAATCACTAATTGTTAAATGGTAACTTTTCAACTTTCACATGATAGTAAAGTGAATATTTTGTGGCTTGACGGTTGGCTTGTCCAAGTAAGACTTAAGTCAATTCTGAAGAGCATTTATTTTTTAAAGGTTTCTGATGTTTTAAAGACTAAATACTGTATATGGAAAAGGTCATCTAGGCACTTATGGTAATGCAGATAACAACTGCAGCTAATTCAGTTTCATTTAACCTCTTTGATAAAAGCATGGAAAGGCTTTGTGGTAGAACAAAAAGATGTGTAACTACTGTCCTTGATTTGTTTGTCCCAGTTGAGATTGCAGACTCTACACCGTCGCCCCCTGCTGTCAAGGAGGTGTCAAAGCGCTTCCCCTCCAGTGACTCTCCGCAGGTCTCCACGGAGCCGGCCTGGCTGGCCCTGGCCAAGAGGAAGGCCAAAGCCTGGAGCGACTGTCCTCAGATCATAAAATAACTTCCCACTGGACTCTGGCCTGCACTGACACTGCACACTGCCCCGGACTCTAAAGCACCTGAAGTGTCACCATCACCTAACCCCCCCCCCCCCGATGAAAACCCTCCTGACTGTGAAACAAGTAAAGCCCTCCATCACCTCGTAACCCCACACACACTGGCTGGTACTATTATCATGTTAAAGTGCGCTTCACATTTAAATACTTCAATACAATCGCACAGATATATGTAAGCAATTGTTGCGCGCATGCACATTCTGTATACAAACACTAAATATGTCGCAGTCCGGGGGGGCAGGAGCCAATCAAATCATGGCTGATTGCAATAGCCAACCCCAATTTAGTTTTTTTTATTTTGTAGCCAACTGTGTCACAATGGTTGTAAATAATTTGCTCACACGTGAAAAGGTAAAAACTTCTTTAGTGGAGAGGTGAAGCTCTGACATATGACAGTGTTTAATCAACAGAGGGTAACTGTCTGATTTGTTTTTTAAGGGCTACCAACCAGTAACAATAAAACGACACGACACTGTTGGATCTGCTTTTTGACGTCTGATGGAAGTGTTACAGTTGTTGGTATTATTTATGTGAAGCAGCGGATTTATCTATGTTGAAACGATACTGCATCTTCTCTCTGAGCCTTGTTGGTCATGTACAAAAGAAGCCTTTCTTTCTCTCTTTTTCTACTCATACTGGAAACCTTAGCATAACAATTCTCACTGTGTCCGTGATGACTGTGATAGCTGTCAAAGAGGCTATTGTACCATTTTGCCATTATAAAGTAACCTTACATCTGTCATTATCACATGGTGGGTGCACCTTAACACAGCACTGAAGACCAAAAGTGTTTCTGGGCATTTACAGTGAACTGCACATGATCCTCCCCACAGCTGTGTGATGACGTGGTTTGGATTTATTTTGCTTTGCTAATGGAAACAGACACAACACATCTGCTTGCTGTAACATACAATTCTTGTAGCTGTCCTCCCGCAACACACTAGTGTTTGTAGGCTTACGCCATCACTTCCTCGTAAATGTGATATGATCTTACACGATATTGTAAGCATTTCCTCCTATGAAAAAAAAAGAATCCTCCAGCTTTCTCATTTCCTGCCACTCACTAAATGATCTGTATGTATGTAAGTATGAACTGTACGGAAGTCAAAGGCGTCTCCAGAGCTTCGGTCAGAAAGAGTCACTTTGTCATTTTGTTTCTAACGGTCGTGGTCGTGCACAGTAGTGTAGTGTACGCAGTGTTAAATGTAACGAGAAAAATGTTTGGTATTATTTGCACTTTTTTTCCCACTTAGATATTCATGATGAAATTCCTAAAGAAACACAAAATGTTATGAATAATGTAAATTAAATACTGATGTCTGAACTGAAAAACTCATTATTTCCCTGGACTTTAATTAAGGTTGATTTCCCAAAGCACCCACTCTGACACAGATATAGAAAATCATCAGTGTTTATTATAAAAAAGTGTGCAGAAATGAATCTGTGTCTTCTTTGACAGTCAGCTTTAAACAGTACACATAGTCATTGCGGCACCCGACTACGAGGGAGTGTTCATGCAGCACCGGGGATGAAAACAGCTCCCCGGGAAGAGTGAACGAGGCCAGCTTTCCTCCGTCTTCTCCATCCAGGATCCACACTGTGCCGTCTGTGGAGGCCAGAGCCACCAGAATCCCCCTGCGGCCCCCCACAGAGCCATCGAACACACACGGACTGGAGTACACCTTCCCTGTGGTCTGGAAAGTCCAAATCAAAGAGCCGTCTGCGGCGTTCAGGCAGTACAGGCAACCGTCATGTGATCCACACAGAACCCTCTGATGGTCCGGTGTAACGCACGGAGAGGAGAAGATGGGTCCTTTTGTTAGAAACTGCCAAACCTGCAGAGAAACACATTGTTAAATAATTTATTGCCAATTTGCAATAATTGCAATCCTTAAAATGGACAGTAGAGATTTTTTAAGTTGGGTTTTAGGGGTTGGACTTCCATAAAATGGTGGTTTGATAGCCCCTGCCTTTTTATAAAATTGACAATTTCAGTAAAAAAATAAAATCACTTAATTTAAGTGAACACTGTATAAATATTTGTACCGCTTTACCTTGGGGAACTAAACCCATTATCTATGCTCTCTTTAAAGCCATCAGATTGCATTGAAAAATAACAATTTAAATTTGCAGGACAAGCAAGTTCTACAATTAAGTTTTTTGTCAAATAGGCTGGTGGATTTGAACATTTTAAATATATTGTTCAATTAAACTGATATAAATGTTTTTAAGGTGGGCATTTATTTAAGCAGGTTCATTTGATTTTCTTCTGCGTTCGTCCACAGCGGTACATTGTTTTACTTTCAGCATGCAGACCACCATCTAGTGTACGTTATGCAATGACTATGGGTCAATGATGAAAAGCCCATTAAAGAAAAATCTAACTAGACCTTCAGGATCTCAGTCCTGACCACACCCCTGGTCACTGGTAGTGTATAACATGTTACATCGGGGGGAATAAATAAGTGTTAGTTTCCTCACCAGTGTCCCTGTGTTGCTGACGCAGCAGATGTTTCCATCCACGGAGCCGATCAGCACGTGACCAGAGGAGGCGTTTGGTGATGAGAAGAAAGGGATGTCTCTACAGTACGACCACAGGACCTGTCCACTGTCCTGGAACAGCAAAAACTAAATCCGTCAAAATGTCCTTCACCTAACAAAATGACAAAACTGTTTCCTGAAGTTTGTTATTATCTTTGCTCACAGGGTCAAGACAGAGGAGATGACCTCCCAGTGAAGCCACATACAGCTGTCTGAGTGACGAGTGGAGGCAGGGGGATGAAAACACAGCCCCTCCCCTGCAGTGACGCCTCCAAACACACTGCTGAACCTAAAAGATAACATGAATTGAACTTAATTTATCTTCAATACAATTACAAATACATGCTTTTACTTCTTAGTTATTCCCAGAGAGTTTTAAACTAACAATGAAAACAAAACGGTTGATCCTTTCTGTGTTTTTATCAGCTTTAAAACCATTTCCCCAACATGAAACAAGACACAAAACATTTAAAGCTTCCAACCTTTGGGTCCAGGGCGTAGACGTGGCCATCATGTGAGCCCACGATAACCAGCCCTGTGAGGGGGTCCACAGCAGCACAGCTCTTCACAGCGTCTCCAGTCTTAAACGTCCACCGTGTCTGTCCAGATGCAGTGCACAGGAAATACACAAAGCCATCGTAGCAACCTGGGAAAATCCGTGAAAAAACATTAAAGAAGTCTAAATTAAACAGATTTACACAATATTCTGAAAGCTGGTACCGACCTATCACCAGGAGGCTCCCGCAGTGAGACACGGCAGCTGAGGCTTCGATTCTGTCCCCGAGGACCCGCTCCCACAGGAGGCTCCCGGTGGTCAGGTCTAAAGCCTGGATCCTGTGAGAGTGGGAGCCGATGAACACTGTTGTTCTAACCTCCTCTGATCCTGAATCTGTTTTCTGTTGTACTAGAAGCACCGGGGAGGCGTCCACACATCTGCCTGTGTCTGAGGACCAGCTCAGACTGAGGCTCAGAAAATCCTCGCTTCCTCTCTCACTCAAATCCTTTTCTCCAAGTGCTTCAGTCTGGACGTTTTTAATTGCTACTGGTTTTCTGATTTCTATAACCTCTCCTGCTCGTCGTATAACTTTAAAAGCCCATGTCCCCCCCTGCGGTCTCTCTGCTGCTGTAGACTCCGTGCGCTCTCTCTTTGCTTCCACCATAGAGGGGGCTTCAGTACGTCGTTTCTTGGCCTCAGATGTCGGTGACTGGCTCTCCTCAAGTGGCGGCAGCAGTGTTATCCTCTCAACATGGCGCAGTACGTCAGAGAATGTCCCGTCAAGAATCACCTCCAAAAGCTCCGGGGAGGTCACTCTGAAAGCAGTGAGGATGTCTTCACAGAGGCGCAGCGCCTTCAGAGAATCTCCTCCACTCAACAGGAAGTTTGATTTCTCGTCGATAGTCGGTTCTTCAGGAAGACCTAGAGTTTCCTGTCGATAGGTAGTTGAGTTTACACATACTGAGGGGACAAAAGCAATCTGTGGTATATAAGACTTTTGCATCCTCTTTAAAAAGCTGCTCATATGTCATTAGAGGACAACCATCTATGACTCAAAAACCTAGCATGAACGATATGTTTATATTATTTTAGTTAAATATTTTAACCAACTTTGGTACAGATAAAAACTACTAATTCCTTTTCAGAACGTTAGAACTTTATACCACTTTGTTTACATTACTGTTGTTTCTTTTAAAATAAAATTATAATAAAGCAGCAATAACCCTAAAACTGCATGTTTTTTCTAAAAGGGTTAACATGAGATAATGGCTCAATCTGGAGGAAAACAGTAAACATTTGAAGCCAAGGCAATATATTGAAACTTAGTATAATATAATTTGTAATTGTATGTTGTAATGGCATTGTGATAACATGTGGTATAATACAAATATTTAAGGTTGAGGCTTAGGTTGAACTTCTAAATGAGAATTACACACACCAGGGACGTGCACAGACATTTGGAGGGGCTATTGCTCTAAACTGGAAAAAAGGCCTCCCCCCCCGAAAAAAACACAAGACCTTTTGAAAATTCTAACAAACTCATAAAATAAAAACACAACACTCATTGCAAGTGACACTCAGTTGACTTTTATGTCCAACTGCTAAATTAGTTATTCAGCCTGTGTTCAGTTCAGCATATCTCATTAAAATATCTAATGTTAGTAACTATTAATAAATAACAAGTATATTTAGGTGTTTTTTTTGTAAGTAACCGACGGTGTCAAGAGGAAGTTAAGTCCCCTGGTTTGTCCCCTATACTCTAACGGGCAGGAGCCAGGGCAGGCGTTTGGTGTGATCACCATAGCCATATGAAGCCGGACTCGGAGGGTTTTCCTTTGCTTCCAGCTGTCAGATTGTAAACAAAGTCACGTGACTGGGGGCAGATGACAGCGCTGACAAGGTGTGTTTTCCACAGCGAGACGCTGTTGTGGGCTTATCATGTCGATTCGGCCACAATAGAAAACAAAAAAAACTCTTGCTCTCTCCAGAGGGGCAGGTCAGACAAAAATGGCAAAAGGGCCGTTGCCCGGGCAACATTAGCCCGTACCTGTGCACGTTCCTGACACACACCATAACCAAAATGTATGTCATGTGCATTAATGTGGTCAAAATTTAAAAATGGTTCAATTGGAGTTATGTTGGCAAAGTATTGAAAAACAGCTCATACCTGCCACAAGGACTGCAAGCTTTGCCTGAGTTTGGTGACATCTCCCCGTGAAGACTGTAAACACCGTCTCTGTCTTTGGTATATTTTCACAAGGGCCTCCATGTCCACTTTTCCTGTGATAAACCAAACAGAAGGATAACTTAATCAGTGATGGTCATCATGGTCCTCCTCTATGTAACTGTTATTTCAATGCTCACCATGAGGGGTCAGGCACAGGGCCGGCACCTGCACCAGCGTGTCGGGGACGCTGTGAGAGGGCAGCAGCAGAGACAGCTGGTTCAGGATCAGTCTGTGAAGATCTCCATCTGCACCGCCTGTCTCCCCCTGGTGGTGACTCACAGCAGAGGGGGGGTCTTCCTTAAGCTCGGCAGAGGGTGTTTGTTCTGGATGCTTCTGTGCAGATGTCAGCGGAGAAGCTTCTTTCTGGTCTCCAGGTGTGGATGGCACGACAAAGGCGAGCAGTCGGGTGGCTTCAAACAGAGCCACAGCGCAGGCCTCCACCTGAGGCAGACCCAATATGAGCTGGAGAAGCACAGGGAAAACATGAATTCCTCGCCAGTTCTTCTCCTGACACATTATAAGACGTACTATGTTTACAGTCAGATCACAACCCCTTAATTCAAACCATAACACATTTTTTATCCAGTGTTTAAATCAACTTTCTTTTAATAAAAATAAAATAGTTGAATTTACAAAGTTGCCTTAGAATTGAGAAGACGCATGTACTTGTAGAAAAATAACCCTTTCCAGGATTCTTCAACATAAAAAACACATACACAACAAATACTTTATGAGTGAGGGATTGACAACCTTTATAATTTCTTATTTTCTTAGGATTTGCCTTTGATATGAGTATTTTGATGTTGCCCAGTGGTGGATTTTCTACATCAACTTAAAACTTTGAGAACTATAAATGACACTAAACATGAATTAATTTGTTTATTTGGACGATACAATATATACATAAAACACCTCTTACTTGTTGCAAGCTGTCCAAGTTCACCCGCTTGCCGTGGCGTTTAATCATCCTGTCTCTGCGTCCCAGGTAGTACAGCTGTGTGTCCTCAACATTCACCCAGTCTCCTGTGGCTCTCATCGTCCCGGAGACAACTGTCTGCTCATCGTCAAGGAGACACACCCTGTCCTCTCCACCTGCAGCAGGGATCATAAGGAGATGTGTTTAATTTTATTCAGAGGAATAAGATTCATAAGATTTGTAAATGAGATATTTTATACCTATGAACACCTGTCCTTCACCCTCGGTAACAATGCGGCCATGTTCGTCTCTTACTTCCAACACTGTGTCCATCAGAGGAGTCCCAAGAGGCACAAATGGCAGCACGCTGAAAGGCATGTAATGTTAAATAAAATGACTACATGTAGATTAAATAAATACTTTTAATCAGAGTACACTCACGGGTTGCCAGACTGCAGTAGAGACTCTGGTATTTTGTAACAGCTGGCCCAGCAGGACACCTCTGTAATGCCGTAGATATTGTAGATGTGTGTTTTGTTGTCCTCGTGTCTCCAGTTCCTCAGCAGAGCAGGAGAGGGGCAGGCCTCTCCACCCAGAGCCAACACCCGCAGAGAGGAACCGGATGAGAAGACTTCATGTTTGAGGACATGGTGCCCAAAGCGGCCGAGCAGCGTTGGTGTGACCTGCAGAAACAAAAATACATTATAGAGGCCAGAAAGTAATCCAAGCAAAGAGCAGTTTCTTCACACTTGCCTGAAGGACAGTCGTCTTGTGATCCTTGAACAGTAGCCGAGCAAGTCGACTGGGCATTTTCTTAATCACAGACGGGATAATGAGGAGCTGAGCCCCGGAGGATAAGGCTAGGAAAATATCCACCACAGAGGGGTCAAAGGTTAGAGGCGAGGCGAGGAGAACCACATCATCTGCACTCATCTGGAACAAAGATCTGAGCCAAGAGAGCAACTTTTAATATGGATCTACAGAACAATACTTAATGGATCAATAAAGAGAGAAATACTCACTTCAGATGCAGTATATTGGGGATTATACACTTGTGTGGCACCCTCACAATCTTTGGCAGGCCAGTTGTTCCAGATGTGTGTAGGACATACGCCAGGTCTCGGTGGGCAGCCTCCTTTAACCCTGCAGCAGCACAGAGATCAGGCCCGTCCGCTGTCTGAGCTCCGGTGTGTTTTGGTCCCGGGTGGTGCTCAGCGACGGGAAGCAGCTTGATTTGTGTCAGGGTTAGTTTGAACTTTTGCAACTCCGCACACACCTCCACAGATATGTGTTTGGCGAGAGCGGCCTGGAAGTCCTTTACAGGAGGAGGAACGAAATAGATTGATTACTCTTCAACAGATCTTAAATATAAATGTTAATATATAATAGAGACAACTAAAGTGTGTATGCCAAGAAAGGGATTTACATGGAAGATTAAAAAAAGGCAATGTTTAGGCTTTAAGATACCATTTGCACTTTATTGAAACAAACTCAGAAATGGTATTTCACTTAGGTTTCAGAGTTTTGTCCAATACCCCCCACGTTCTTTGCATATCATTTTGTTTTGATATGTATTTACATTACACCAGTAAAGAAAAATAACAGCTAGGGGGGGCTGGATTAAAACGTATTTGTTGGCCCTTTCGTACCGTGTCAAAACTCAAAATCCACTTTAAAGAGGTACATTTTTTAAGTTTAAATTGTGCCCAAAATATGAAGATGTATTATTGTTAGCTTCTGGGTCCCTGGAATAAAGTTGTTTGGTCTGCCTACCCTGATCTTAAGAGGAACAATATTGCTGATGTAGATCATTATCAAGTGTTTGCACAACAAGTAATTGTTGTATTTGTGTTCATATTAATTAAATATTAAGTAACCTGCAGCATGTCTGTCTTCACAGCACAGTACTTGAGGCCACACTGGGTCATGACTCTGGCAGAGAGAAACCCTGGAGCCTCCGGGTCCAGTGGGACATAGGCAGCAGGAGTCTGCAGGATCCTGGCAAACAACACAAAACAATTATCATTTGCATATGTAACTGCTGCTCACCGAAGTCATTACTACGGAAGAGGATTAGGGCCACATGAGAAACATTGGGATGTGACAAAAAGTAAAACAAAATTGAGTCTAGTTCTGACATTCATCTCATAATTCTGATTTTATTCCCAGTATTCTGACTTTTTATCAAAATACTGAGTTTAAGGTTAGAACATAAACATATATTTTACTTTTGGTCACCCCAAAATAATGTTCTCATGTGGCCCTTATCATATTCCGTACATTAAACATATGACATGGCGCAGAGATTCATAAACTGTTTATGCTACAAACTCATTCTGCTGTGTTTTGAAGGAGAGTAGTAAACTTAATCAGTGAACTCACCCCAGAATCCAGACAGGAATAAACAAATCATCACAACAATACAGCCCAATCACTCCGGTATTGGGAGAGCAGTTCTTTTGTAGAACATGAGACAGTTCACAGGAGAGATCCAGCAGGTCTCTGTACAGCAGCACGGACACCGAGCCGCTGTCATACTTCACAGCTGGCCGGTCTGGGTGCAGAGAGGCGGCGATAGAGACCAGCTTTTGCAGCGTCCGGGCAGCCATCCTGAAAAGACCCTCAATAAATACAATACCATGTTCTGTTAGGGCCGATCCCGACAAGAACAATATCTGAAAACCATATTGTAATTCATAAATTGTTCAGTTTTAGCGAATGAGGTTTTGTTTTTGAATGAAGAGGCGTTGGGAACGTGTTATTGTTTGTCGCGTGAAGATGACGTCATGTTAAGGGCTATTTCAAATGCTTCTGTTGTCGTTCATCACAGCATTAGGATATTTTCACGTATAACAATTTCTTTTAACAACAACATTTAAATCGTACATTTAAATTGTTTGATGTTTTTCAAAAATCACAAACAGCAGTAAAGGGCGCTAGACGGGCAATCATTTTGCCCTCCAAATAAATGATGCGCACTAAATGTTGTTGCATATCACTATGTTGACACATACACACATCCCCTCCAACACATAATTTACACATACATTGTGTAACTCTGCAAAACAATTTAAATACAACGTTTCTACATAACGTTTAATTATAGTATTCAACAACGCTTTTCTGGAACGCAATTTTTCCTAGCAACAGTGAAGGCCACCCTGTCCAATCATTGGTCTCTATTTCGTGGAGAAATCATTTTGAATCTTGAATCATTTTGAGCGCTTTTTTCATCAGCTACCGTACCTTGCTGCTGTCACTACCCATCAATATCAAGAAAACGGGATTTTTAAACAACATGGACGATTTTTATGGTCAAAAACTATCTGCTAATAAAGTTCACTACAAAACGTCTCTGGAACGAATCATAGAAAAGGTGTGTTGATGAGGCTTGCTATCGGGATAGCAGTGGCTATGTTACTGTTAGCATGAAGTAGCAAAGCTGACGTTAGCTTGAACTAACTAACTAATCTTCAGAGATAAATTATGAAAATACTAATAGTTTACCTCTGCAATTGCTTTTAACAGTATTCGAAGCTTCAATACTACGATGCGGGGCAAGGGTTGGACCTCTACAACACCAAAGCCTGTAGTAAGTTGACTACACATTTATTAAGTTATACCATTGGTTATCCCAGCGTTTTCATACTAACGAGTTTAACAGAAACCATTACAGTACAGCATTGATGACTTTTGTTACATATTACTGATCATATTTACCACAAACACATGTAATAATCAGTGCTTCAAGTGTACTCAAGTACTGTACATAAGTAGAATTGTGAGATATGTGTACTTTACTTGAGTTTTTTTAATGTTTTGCTACTTTGTACTTTTACTCCACTACAATTATTTAACACCTTTAGTCACTTTGAAGATTTGGATTAATGATGTGAGATATAAACAACACTTAAATATAAGATTTACACCTGGAGTAGAATTACAAGCTACCCTCCAGTATAAAAAGGGATTAGCTGCACCTTTAACAGCTGCGATAAACACTTGCATCAATAAGTATAATCAAAACATAGAATATATATTATTTTGTAATGGGACAATTTGCATAATGAGTACTTTTACTTTTGGTACTTTAAGTATATGTTGATACTAAAACTTTTCTACTTTTACTTTCCTACACTCTAGTACTTGTACTTAAGTACAGGATTTGAGTACTTCTACCACCTCCGTTAATAATGAATGATTGAACAGGGTAATTGTAAAAATCATATATCAAAATGTACAGTTTTCTGCAATGACCCTAAAAAAGAAGGTCTTTCTGTTTTTATTTTTGGTTGTATGTAACCTTAAGCTCTGAGAATTGTTACCACTTGTCAAAGTTTTTTTGACTAAATTATCAATCAAGAAATTTGACAGATGAATAAATAGTGAAAAGTCAGGGATTTATAATGAATTGCCATGTGGCCTTGTCTCATTGTGAATCTGTTTTTGTCTTGACTCCTTGCATGATGAAGCCCTTGAACGCTACATGGATATGTCAAAGATAAAGCTCGACAAGCTGGATTCAAAGGTTTGGGTCGCTTTGAGCATACTCTGCACACATGACACACAATGCAATCATCTGATTTAGGTGGCAGTTTATCCACTGTATTCAGATATTAATTATATATGTACAGCTTTTATAATGGAACACTTATCTTCTCCTCAGAGCATAGAAGAGTTGAGAGAGGAGTCAATAAGCTGTAAGTATCCATAACTAAAACGTGAATAGCTATTTAGAGATTTTTGTAAACTGTATATTTTTTCCTTTGATTGCTTTCATATTACTTCCCACACAGCCCAGGACATCACAGGAACCTCTCAGGTAAGACCTCTGTGTTTATTGTAACAGTTCAGTCTTGACTATATTAGTATCTTTTAATGTTTTGTTTATTTTATTTTCAACAGTTAGACTTCACGTATCAAGATGGCAGGGCTGATGCCTCCTGTTCCGTTATACACATGTCGGTGGAAGATGATGGTAAGAGCAAGAAAGCAATGGGCGGACAAACCATGGCAGATAGAGATTATGGGAACCTTGACTTTTACTTTTAAAGGTTGTAGAAACCCTGCAATTAAAAAAAGTATATAATTGCTGGTATTGTTTTTTGTTCCCTTCTCCTCCTTAAGGGGTGGCTAGCAATGAAACGACTCACCTGTCAACGGTCTCATTGGATGAGAGTCAGAGAAACATTTCTTTTACAGACTTCCAGCCTGAGGACCAAGATGAAGAGCTGGACATGACCCTGAGGAATCTTGGCAGTTCTCTAGTGGAGCTGTACCCCAGCATGGTCAGCCGATTAGGGCAGGCCTGCCATCGGCAGCAGGTCTCTGAGGCCGCAGACTCTGTGCTGAGGAGGTACCGCAGATGGCGAAAGCAGTCAAACAGAAGCAATCCGAACAAGACCTTCAATATCCAACTGATTTACACCAACAGAAAACCTAAAAACAAGACCGACCAGATGCTGCTGGAGGAGAACACCAACAGCCCTGTGAAAAGGCAGTTCATGGTTGCTGAACCTACCCATCGGTCTCCCTTGAAGATAGTTAACAAAATTCAGGGTTTGGAAGTCCAGCAGCAGTCTCCTAGGAGGGAGAGAAGAGAGCATCCCATGGTCACGATGGACTTTGGTCCCGATGAGACTTTAATGCAAACAGAGAGCTGTCTGAACGAGACCTTCACTGTCTCTGAAGCATCCCAGCTGGAAGAACAGCCCTCCATTTACACAGTCAGTCCTTCACGACCTTGCTACCCTGCTGCAAGAGCATCCTTGGACGCGTCTCTCAGGTCTAGAAGGTATTCTGTTTCTGCACACCCACTGCAGACTGATGGCTGCCCTGTGTATGCTTCGGACCCCCCCTCTGTTAAAGAGAGACTGGACATCTACGGCTCTCCTGTCAGGAAGAGTTCCTGGATGGTGACCGACCTCAGATCACCTCAGGCCTTTTCCAGAAGCCCCAGAGCACATGCTGTGGAAAGCTTTTCCAGAGAGCCTACCACGCCCAGATTACTGTCCACCCCGCCACAACAGCCAACTGTGCTATTGAGGATGCTCCACCCTCAAGACTCCCATCTTTCCCCCCACCAACAGTTGCGTTCCCCTCAGTCAGCCTCAGCAGGAGAGAGTCGCCACAGGCTCCGGAGGAACCTTTCCTACGACTCCACCCTGCCATTATTGCGGGCCCCTCACTCCCCAAAGAAGCTCGACGAGGACTTTATAAAGCTCTACCACAAGTTTGTCTGCCAGAACAAGTCCTCTTTCTTTAATGTGATTTCCTGCCGCCTCTGTGTGAGAAGCTCTGAGGCCAGCAAAATGTCCTCTTCCTCGGCTCTTGCAGCTCTCGCCCTGTCGCCGCACCGCTCGGTCCTGAGGAAGCGCCACAGGGAGTTAAACTGGGACAGCCAGCCCCAGTCGAAACGCTACAGGGACGAGTTCTGCCCGTCCTCTCCCGGGTCCGCACGGCACGGGAAAGAGCTTCTGAGGCACCGTCTCGCTCCGTATGAATATGAGCAGTCCCATGATGGCGTCTCCGATAGCACCACGAAACCCAGCATGTTTCAAAGATTCAACACCCAGCAGCGCTCAGCACCTCAGGAGACCTGGATGAGTCAGCGCCGCCATGTGTCTGCAGCTGATTTTTATGACATGGGTGAGCCTGCTTTGTAAAACACAATATTATACTGCAGGATACTTAATTTATGTCTGATGTTTAAATTGAACCATTGTATAAATTTGACCCATTATTACGCTTTTTTTCTACAGAAAATTCACTTGAGAACAGAAGAAACAATGGCTGCTCTCCCAGGTGATTGTCATGAACTCTGTACAGTGTTTGTTTTTCTATGCAAGCCCATTGCTGCCAATGTGACGAAAGAAAAAAGTTCAATTAGGTCATACAAGAAACTTTCCTGGAATAATGACTGTTTTAAAAAAATAATGAGAAACTTCAATACATTTAATTATTTTGAGACAGCTTGTCATTCTTTGAGATAAATACTATAGAATGGAGTTCAGGTCTCATGATTTAAAGACACTTAAAGGTCCCCTATTATACTCTTTTTCTACAATATATTATAGATCTTAGATATATACAAAACATGTCTCTGAAGTGTTTGGCTCGAAATACCAAACAGATCGTGCATTGTAGCATCCCATAAACCCCTCTGTTTCAGCCCTGTTCCAAAAGTGCTGATTCTGTATCTGAAGCTTTAAAGGCTAATGAGCTGCAGGTGGCCACGCCCCTCTGAGAAGTGTTTGGTCTAAAAAACCCTCAATGATCTGGGAGGAGATTCAGGTGATGAGGTGGGCGGGTGTTACGTTGGTTGGTTAGTTATTTGCTAACGGTTTACACAACCCAAAAAAACATTGTGACATCACAAAAAGGCCAAAATCTGATCAGCTCATTTCAGACATGTTTTTATATAAATGGATCAGGAGTCAGGACTAAAGTGAGAGAATCTTTTTCCTGAAATTTTCAGAATCTCCTAACACCGAGGGGACATGTATGTATACATTAGACATGAAAAACTGGATTTGGATTGATAGGTGGCCTTAAATCATTATTTTGAGATATTAAGCCATTACTTAATTTTTTTTCATTTCATCTTAAGGCTTAGTTTCAAACTTGTTTCTTTTACTGGCAAAGATGGGATTACCAAGTTTGTTTTTGTGCTTCCGAGAATTGATTTGTTCTCATTACCCTATTTTTCAGAAAATGGTGACGAAAAAGGATTACTGCGGCC